TGCTCTTGTGCTGCTGGGATGTTTGCATGTATGGAGACACACAAAACAGCAGTCAGTGAGACTTGTTTCGTGTTTTTTCTTCTTCCTTGTGTCCATCTGCACAGGCTGTGTTATAGAAGAGGCAGCAGCGCTATTCAGATCTTTAGAGGTGAAGAGTTCATGATTGGGTCAGGGCATTGGTGTTTCCCAGAGTTCAATTTAAGGCTAAAGCTTCTCTGTCTCTCTCCCTCTCTCCCTCTCTCCCTCACACACACACACACACAGAGAGAGAGTGTGTGACACTATGTAAAAAAAACAACACATGCAGCCTCAATAAAGACTATAAAGCAAGTCAGGAAAAAATAGCGCACAAAGCTGAATTTGCAATATTATTTCACATCACAGTTTTGTTCTCTTATCCAATTATACAGCCATAAATCAGGGCGCAGATCACCTCTTCACCGTAACAGAGCAGGTTTACGAGCAATGGATGCCTTTGTCATAAAATTTATGACCGCGAGTTTTTATTATTTCCTGCGTTTGGCCTATAAAACTCAAGAGGGAAAGTGGAACGGGCGAAAAGAAGTGTTGGTTGAATCAGAGAAAAGCGCCAGAGTCGCCCTCTCCAGACAAAACAGACAAACTTTACCGTGGCTCATGTGCAGTTTTGTCATCCAGGGGTAAATCTGCGGCGGCTGATCACTGTCCTGACGCTGGCTCGCGTTCGTGTTGCGTTTCGCCGCTTGCGTCTTCTCCGCGTTTCTCTCGCCCTCCTGGCTCACGCAGCCGCCAACGCCTCCGCCGGATTTTGCGCTCCTCTGCGGATCTCTGTCCGCCATGCGCCCCAGCTGCGCAGCGCCGCCGCCGCCGCCGCCACCGCAGCAGTTGGCGTCCGCAGACGAGCTGCTGGAGACCATGGCTATCTGTGGTCCCCGCGGCAGAGCAGGATCAGCAATGCCACGCAGGCTAGTTTGCATCTCCTCCCGTTCCACGGAGGTCGTGGGGACGGGACAAGTAAATATTCCGTTCACATTAACGTCCTCCAAGTGGCTGGACGCGCGCCCGGAAAGATCGAAACTAAACATTCTGTTAGAAGTTGTCTCGCTTGTTTGCCTGAGATTGCAGCTGTCAACATAAGAGCTCATGGTCAACTCACCAGCAGCAACACTTTTTAAAAACAAACTAGACCGGGCTGTTGGTGCTGGAGGCGGCGGCGGCGGCGGTTTCCTTGTTGGTGTTGATCATTGCTTTTCTTTGGAGCGCGCTTTTGGCCAAATTCACAGCTGTCTGCCCTAAAAAATAATCCAGGATTTATAGGTGGAGTAGGCTTTGGTATCTTTTTTTATTCTTGATCCGACGTGCGCTGCCCAAATATGGTGTATTTGTATGGGATCACGTGCACATGTTGGCCAGTCATAAATTGGCTTTGATACTCAATGGGGATATTGATGAATAGGAGAAACGTGTCCGGTAAACTTTGAGCTGTTGGTTGCTCAGGACCAGGCAGGGGATCTTTACGAAAAAAAGGGCACGACAGTAGGACAAGAGCGTCATCTGGCGTCTGGTATGGGGCAAGACGGTCACAGCAGCGGTCACGACTTAGTGCCCTCAACACAACACGAGGCTATATAACGCCCAACAACAAAAATAAAAATAAAAAAATAAAAAAAATAAAAAATAAAAATAAGTAATTTTTTTTGTTCATGAAGCGAAATTTGGTCTTTGGAAAAATCCAGTGATAACTCGCCTACGGAACCGCCGTGACGCGAAATCTTTCTTTGTCACCAATGTTTAATCCATCAAGTTCGAAACATCCATCAAATGTTTCAATAATCAATATTTACAGACCATGATCTGTTAACAACAACAACAACAACAAACAGTTCCAATCACTCAGATCTCTAGCCTTCAATCCCTTCATAATTAAACAACACCAGACCACACACTGGGTTGGCTGCGTACTTTCATCAGCCTCATTATAATTAAATTGTACTCGGAGACCGCACACTGAGTCCTGTGTGTGTGTGTGTGTGTGTGTGTGTGTGTTTTCATCAGCATACCTTCATAAAGTCACGTCCCTTCTGTGTGATGTCACATGTGTGTGGTGTCCACAGAAACACAGAGTTCGGGGAAAAGTTTTACAAATGTTTTATTTCCATGATACACAATTACATGACAAAAACATGACGTCGTAACTCGGAACGGAAGTGTACAAATCTATATCTAACGAGAAAATGCTATCGGGTCAATAGGTCGGGGGTTTAAGCGCAGTTTTATGTTATGTTATGCGGCGTCTATCAATGCGGCTATAAATGCACACGAGTCCTCACAGGGTGGACGTGATATTCTGCTGTGGATTATATACAGGCATGTCGTTCGTGGGGGATTTTTTTTATTTAAATTTTTCTTTTGTCTCTTCGTGCAACTTTCATGTTGATGCAAAGAACTTTTTCTTTTCTTTTCTTTTTTTTCTCATTCTGCGAAACATTTCAAGAACCAGACTGTGGTCTGTGGAAGTGTCCGCCCGTGGAATGTGCGTGTACAATACTGACAGAAGTCTGCTCCAACACTGTTGTTATTCAGTGAGGTGACCAGGAAGTTCACAGTGGTGGATTAAGGGCATAAATACACACAATTTAACTGGCGTGTGAAATAACACAGAAAATAATACTTGATTTTTTTTTATTACTATCATTATTATTATTATTTCACAATACAGATGTGACAAGGCAAATAAGATAAAATTTTTAAAAAAGGAAAAAACTCAGCTTCAAATGTCACTGGGGGTCGAGTGAAGGGGGGGAGGTCAGGGGGAGGCCATGGTGTGGCTGAAATAGTTTGATTTCTAAGGCTCAACACTCCTGTGGTCAACATGGGATATAGGTGGGAGATAGCCAGCATGCAGTGGAGCTGCTCTCCAGTCCACGAAGGGTTTTTTTTAGGTAGTTATGTTGGGTTAGAATGGTCACCAGGTGATGGACTATTCTTTCTTCTTCTCTTCTTCTTCTTCCTCCTTCCCTTCCTCTGTCGCGCCGCTGCGGTCCTCCTCTGGAGGGGCTGCTGTCTGTTCACTTCCAGTCACCGTGGAGGTCAGGTTGCTCTCCTTCTTCCATTTCATGCGTCGGTTCTGGAACCAGATTTTGATCTGGCGCTCAGTTAAACAAAGCGCGTTGGCGATTTCGATGCGTCTGCGCCTGGTCAGGTAGCGGTTGAAATGAAACTCCTTCTCCAGCTCGAGTGTTTGGTAACGAGAGTAAATCTGACGTCCTCTGCGTCTGTCCGTCCCGTAGCCCACTCCTGCTGGGTCACAAAGTCAAGACACCCTTTTTAATTTGGTTTTACTCCACGTCTGTGAGACTTTTCACATTTATACATACTTATTTATTTTAAAAAAAAATCCTCAATTTTGTCACAACAACGGTGCGAAACTTCTGCCCTATATCTGCTGTGTAAATCGACAAAGAAAAAATATATCAATCAATAAATAAAAATCAACAAATGTCTCTCAGGACTTATTAAGGTCGATAGTGTTAAAAATAACCCCAGCATCCTGCTGTGTGTGTCCTCTCTGTGTCTCACGCTCCTGATCTTTGCTACTATATCACTGCTAAAATGAAAGCTGTTTGTTTGCACATGCAAAGGCCCGGCTACAGGACGGGGGGATACGGTCATGTTTTATGGGGTCATAAAAAGTAACTTACTCTCTTGGTAAGACATATCGTAAAACTGACCCATTCCCTTAATTTATTTGTCGTAGTAAAAAAAAAAAGAAAAAAAGAACCTCACCGTTGTGTGAGTTCATTCGCGTCATCCACGGGTAGATCGGGACGTTGCCTTTCTGATCCTGCGCTCCTGCTCTTCCTTGATCCAAACTGTACTCTTGAGCAATGTGGCTCTGTGTGTTGAGTCCCATGTTTGTTTGTCTGCAGCTGGGGAGCACGTCCTTGTCCTGGAGGAACACGTTTGATCCATAGTCATACTGTGCCCGGCCAGAGCCGAAGACCACGTTGTCTTGTGGCGAGTAGAAAGGTGTATATATCCGATTCTGGGTCACAGCGGCACCGTACGACGAAAAATGTCTGACCGTGTCATAGGTGGTGGAGTTCAGTGGGACGTTGGGCAGAACATCTTGACCGCCGGACAAATGGCAGGAGAGCGACGGGTTCGCGAAATAAGAATTCATACCTTGCCTGTAGCCCTCTCTCCAACTCTCCCCACTTCTTTGATCGCTGTGTTCAGTCTCCCTCTGAGTGAAACCTCTCTCCCCGTCTCTGTCAACCAACCACACCTTTCTCCAAGCTCCGCTGCTTTTCCTCCACTTTCTGCCTCTCCGCGTGGACGTGGGCTACTTTGAGGATTCAATATTATTAATTTCCAATCTCCGGTTAAGACGCACAAACCCGAGTGTTATAGCTGAGGCTTGGCTCGCTGAGAGACAATATGACAGCGTCAGCTGACCATTCTCCACCAATTGAGAGGCAGGAGCGCAGGGGAAACTGTAGCTTTTAGCTCAGAGCTTGAACATTACTGCTAAATGCCGATAAACACAGCGTGGATTTGGAGCGGCACACTGTGCAGCTCGGCTATTAGGAACATTACTTTCTTTCTCTCTCTTTTTTTTTTTGGACGTGAACTTTGAGAGATGAGGTGTTTGTGCAGGAAGTGTGCTGCAGACGTCACTCAGTGATCAGTGATCAGTGATCAGGGGTTTCATTCTTACACCGAGTCAGATTAATACACATGAACCCGTGTCTTCACAGGGTCAAACGGGCATTAAAGACATATAGTGAGCTATAACACAGATCAGCCATTATCTTCTCTCTCTACTGAGTGTGTGTGTGTGTGTGTGTGCGTGTGTGTGTGTGAGTGTGTGTGAGAGAGAGAGAAAGAGAGAGAGAGAGTGTGTGTCAAAAAAGTCACTTTTTTAATTCTACCACTGCAGAGATCTATTATCTCCATGTTGTCATCTCACAGCTTTCTTTGTTGTGTGGTATAACAGCCCCCCCCCGTCCCCCCCCCCCCACCCCGTATACCACACAGGGGAGGGTGTCTAAAATGAATATTGACATGTGTTGTTTATCGACGACTTTCTAACATACTGTGAATGTTTCCAGCCTGTGTATGAATTATCCGGCATGTGAACAATCTCCATGCATTTGCAGTGCGGCGGGGGGAGGGCGAGGGTGTAGGTGCTGCTAAGAATGCGTTTATGGTCTCTCTTCACTGAGGGCAATAAAACAAGTGACGTTCCCCAGCTCTCCAACAACTATCTCTGCAGCAAAACCCCTGCAACAACAGCAGCAGCAGCAGCAGCAGCAGCAAATCTCCCCCAACTCAGAAAACGAGAGCACAGCGTGTGGAAAATAGTGTTCACTGAGTCCAAGCGGTCAAATAACTGCGTCATAGTTGATAAAACTCCAATCTGTGAGTGAGTGAGCGGAGGAAGATCCTCCACAGGTAAATGAAGCTGCGGTGGTTCACACCGAGACTGAGCCGAGGATCCTGCAGCAGCTATATTTACAGTCAGGGGAGGCGTCGTAAAGATTTGTATCATTTCAAACACACTGTGTAAATTCCTCTGGAACACACACACACACCCACACACACAGAGAGAGATACAGGAAAGACGACCTGATAATTATCTCAGCAGTAAATGATGGGTTTGAAAACGACTTTCGAGGTGTTTTCTTTTTTTTAATGGAAAATAATTATCCGAACCTGAGCAGGGGGTGAGACTGACTGTGAGACTGTGCTGCCGCTACATGTGTAAGAATCACTCATTAACAAAAACAAAGGAGCACACAAGTATTATTATTATTATTATTATTATTATTATTATTATTATTATTATTATTATTATAACACCAATAAACTGTTTTTAACTCCCACTTTATTGTTGTTATTGTTATCGTTATTACTGATATAATTCTTAAAAAAATAAAAGCGTCCTAAATAATGACCAACTACACTCCACGCACCGATTTCCATCGATACATTTCACAGTCAGTATGTCCGGGCTTTTGGCGCGAGGCCATAATGGATACCAATGAAATAATCGATAGGCTTATTGAAAATGTCTGTTCAAACACAGTCGCCGTGGCCACAGCAGCCTCTCGGTGCAGCTCATTGATTTCCTCAACAGGCTGAGAGACTCACGGCACTGTTTGGTCTGCTGTTTGGGAACCTGAATGCCCATAAAAGAGACGGGAACAAAGAGAAGGAAGTGGCTGCTGCAATAAAAGTTTCCCCTTCAGTTTATTCGTGGCCATATGTGACATCCGCGTCGCGCGAATTCGGGGGCAGACGAGGCGCACAGGCAGGAGGCCGGGGCAATAAGAGCTCAGCTGAGCTGGGGTTGGTTGGTTTTCTGTCGAAAATCAAGGAGAGGAATTATAGGATAATGTAGTAGAGAGAAAAAAAAAGCACGAAGATATTTTTTATTCACTTTAGAAAAATTGGTAATTCTAGTTTTAATGTTGTGATGTGGATGTTTGGTGTATTAATAAAGGGGCAATAATTTAAATATAAAACCAAAAATAATACAAAAAATAAATATTGAGTGTGTGATGTACATTTGGACTTTTTTAAAATTATAGATTGAGAGAAAAAAAATTTAAACCCTCAAAAGTACTGTTTTATATTTTGTGTTTATTAATGTTCTAAAATGTAGCATATATATATATAAATATTGGAAGCTATTTATTTTTTTCAAAAAACGTTTTAAAATAACACCGATCGCCCTGAAGCCAATTGTCATGCACAACTCAGCCCGAACCTCCCCCTCCAAAAAACACGCCGCTCCATAAAGTCCAGGTTGTAAATAAGGGCTGAACAGTGAGGCCAATGTGTGGACTGGAGGGGTCGGAATGCAGCAGAGGCTGAGGCAGTGTGCAGAATTAGAAAGGTCATTCTTTCCTTCGTGTTTTAGTGTTTTATTGCGGCCCGTGAGCGTGGGGTTTTCACGCAGAAGGCAAGGCAAAAGAAAGGAGAAGCCGTTTGGTGTCCACGTCCTCATGACTGACACTGTGGCAGAGAGAGAGAGAGAGAGAGCGAGAGAGTGAAGACCGGCAAATTATTCACTGTGGATATTCTCCAATTATTCTTTTTGTTGCAAAATAGACATTAGTATTATTAGTATTAATACCATTCCTATAATTGCTAATATATTATTATTATTATTATTATTATTATTATTATTATTATTATTATTATTATTATTATTATTACATTCCTATGCATCCACTTCCCTGGGCTGAAGGCCTGGCTGCAGCAGCAGCAGCAGCAGCAGCAGCAGCAGCAGCCTGTTCCCCTGCAGCAGAGGCCCGGCTGCTTTTGTATTCTGTGCTGCAGGGGCTGCAGTTATCAATATTCAACATTACACCATTAGTCAGTATTAGCTCTATGGGACGTGTAAAATCTCGACATTATCAGCCATGATTAAACACACAGCTAAGGGAAGGCAAAAGTCTGGTCAGACCGCGATGCTTTTAACTCCCCCTCCGCCTCTAACCCTCACTAATAAGGACTAATTCACATACTAACATTGTAAAGCCCCCCATAAGCACTTTGCCATCGCTGGCCGGTCCAATTAATGTCCGGAAGTGTTCGACTTTATGCTCGTTAAGCACTCAGGAAGCTGTTGCCCGATGTGCGCATGTTGATCCACACATCATAAATTATGACCATTAGTAGGCAAAAGTTGCGTCCTGTCGGGATTAGTGGGTGAGGTTCTAAATGTGGTGATGCGGACAGATGCATGACTTCATGGAGTTTTATGGGAGTCCATCTCTGCTTTAAAAAAAAAAACAACCCAACAAAACACACACACACACACACACACACACAGACTGCAAATGCTCAGCTACACACGGTGGTTTTCCACCAGTCTGCACTGGATCTGAATGTAGCCAACAATTCAAAAAGCCTCTCTCTCTCTCTGTCTCTCTGTCTCTCTCTCTTTGTCTCCACAGTACAGTGGACATCAGAGGAAGCTTCACTGCGCATAAGGAAGAAGGAAACAAGGAGGCTCTGAAGGTGGAGTGAGTAACAAAAAGGACACATGACAGGAGCAGAACCTGGTAAAGACAGACAGAACCATCAGAGCCGACTGAAGGAAGGACGTCATGGATATAACACACACACACACACACACATTTCCCAGACAAATAATTTTGTGAAGACATTATACTAACACGTCTTCACCCACACAGACTAAAAGAGGATATTATTTATTTTTTTAGCCTAATCTTAAAATTACAAACTACAATTTTTTTATTCTCACTTAATGCAGATACTAAAAAAACCGGATTTGTCTGATGTTACGTTTGCGTAAAACCAGTCATCTTCACGATAACAACAAGGCTAATAATGCTAATACTACCAGATACTATGCTAATAATGCTAATAATGCTAATAATAATAATAGTGATAATAGTAATAATGCCAGTAGACATACAGTATGCAGACACACACACACACACACACACATTATTTGGCTCTTCAACATACGTCCTTGTTTATAGGTGCAATGCAGGCCCTGAGATCCTTATGTTTTACTTTATACTTTGATTATTTATAGTTGGCTGATTTCAAATATAAAATCCCACTCTATACACACACGCACACACAGACACACACAGAGACACAAACACTGGTTGGCTCTGCATCATACTGCTTTGTTTTCAGGTGCAATGCAGGCCCCTCATGTTTTATTTTATACTTATTATTTATACTTGGTTGACTCCCAAAACACACACTTACACACACATACACACACACTTACACACACACACACACTCATTTATCCCCTTCTGATGTGTGTTGCCAATCCTAAGTTTATTTGACAACTTGACACCTTTAATGTTCAATCGTTCATCCTCACCACATCAGACTGTCGTGATTACCGCTGATGGGTGGTATTTACAAGTCACTGCCGATTGTGTACTGTAAATAAAATACACATGCTAACTTCTCAACACTGTCGTCAGTCATTACGTCACACAGCTGCAGATTCCTCGACGCGCGGCGTCACATCAGAGCCAAACTACACGCAGCCAGTAAACAGATCTGCGTTCCTCCTCCACAAAGTCACCGCAGCAGATCCGCGGACACACTGCTCAGCGTCAGCCCCGAGCAGCTCCTCTCCGGCGGCCGAGTATCAGCCGGGTCAGCTGACATCCGCAGTGGAAGCCAGCAGCCATAAACAACAAGCCTCGACACCCACCCCTCCACATCCACACATGCAGCGCCCCGCAGGTCGCTAGGGGGCACTGTCGTGCGCTTTGTGTAACATTTTAATGTCTGTGTGCGTTATGTGTTTATGTGGATGAGTGCGTGAAATTCGGTTTTTTGTTTTTTGTTTGCACAGACGGGACACAGCGCGTGACAACAAGCAGGAAATGCGTTATTAGATCAGATCAGTCAACACTGTTCACCTGTCTGGTCACAGCGGCCTCTGAATGATGACTAACTTTACTATCACTAGATAATTCATAACCACACAGTGGCCCAGCATCTGTACACAGGGTTTAAATGGTGCTGTTTGCTCATCCACTGCAGCAGCAGCAGCAGCAGCAGCAGCAGCAGTGGAGGGACAGTGGCAGTGAGCACCAGCAGCCACTCAGGCTACAGGGTCAGGTCACAGAGCAACACTATCACACACACACACACAGACACACACACAGAGTGAGAGAGGACGCCTCCGCCTTCTCACGGTCTCACACTCTCCGCATCACTCAACAATCCAAAGCCACTAATCCACCAAGCACTGAGGCTAAAACAGTGAGAAAGAGCGGCGTTCACCCGCCGGGTCCTACCTCAGCAGAGTGTCCGCGGTTCGTGGCGCTGAGAGGTCACGATGGCGATGGGCAGATATCACCCGCGCGCACGTCTCCCCGTGCGCTGCTGGCTGCCTTCGCGACGCGACGACAGGGAGATCATGGCGGCACTCGCGGCGTCTGTTTACCAGGGGAAGGGATTGTTTCGCCCAGCAGCCTCCGTTGATTCCTCTCTCCTATAGCCATTCTCTGCTTTATTGCCTCCGGGGAGGACATACGCAGGCAGTGGATGGTAGAGGCGGCGGCACGTCCCGAAGATCCCTCTGTCAGGAAGTCGGAGAGCGGATGAATATGACTCTGAGCAGCGGTAGAATATCACAGCAGTGCGTTACATGTTCGATTTAGGGACAGAAATCAGCTTTGTACGCCCCAGCTTTAGTCTGCTGCTGATACAAGGGAAGGACTAGAGAATAGACAACAGCATAAAGTTCATGTTCATAGAGCGTGTGCCACGTGGCTCGCTGCAGCCAATCGCAGAAAGGATTCAGTCGTAAACTTTTATTACTCAGCTGTAAATTTCTCCCTTTAACAACCAGGAATGTTTGCACCCATCTTTGCCTTCCTGTTTTTGCAGATTGTCACAAAACTAAAATTGGTCTCACTCCGTGTGGGTGCAGAAAATCCAGCATATGTCACAGATTATAAGAAATATGACAGCTCCCCTTTAATGGACAGGCTGTGTGCCAACATGTAGCCGAGCTGTACCCGAGCCAACGGGAAATAGGAAATAAAGGAGGGCGAGAGAGAAGGAGAGGGAGGGGAGACCGGAAAGGAGGCAGAGAGGAGCAGGGAGAGACATGGAGGGAAGGAGAGACGTCTGATCAAACTGGAATCAGACTATGGCTCCATGCAGGGCCTGGGTCTCACTGTCCTGTCTCTATACATGGACCACAGTCCAGAACATGTCAAACATGACTTCCTCCTCACGACCAAACCAACTGAACAATCCAGGTGAAAACACAGTGTCCATAAGAACACGTCGAATCCCACATTAGGGATTCGATTAATCGCAAACAAGTACCCCTAAACTGAAATACCAGGTGGTGGAGATTTAACCTGCAGAGATCGAGCTCGTGGATTCAAACATATCGACTTCAACAGTGTAAATCTGGGTCAGAGTCTCGGCGGGTTTCGAACACCACACGAAAAACGTGATACACGTGAAAAACGTACATTTCAAATCTCAGAAACATGAAAATCAAGGAACGGCATCCTCACATGTAACTATTTCATGTTCTAAAACTCCCTGCATAGAAACACAAACACATGATTAAATAAAAATATTATTATTATTATTATTATTTTTACAAGAAAACGCTCGAGCTGTGCGTCATTACGCACGGACTACATCCAGGAAACCCACACATTAGCAGCGAGTGATTCCTCAAAAACAGTTGAAATATATACACAGGACAGATAGTACACGATACCACAAGTACATGAGCAAACACGTTTGTATTACGTACTGGAAACGAGCGCCCACGTCGTCGTCACAGGCCGCGTCTCCACACTGAGCCTCGCACACACTCGACAGCGGATGCAGCGCCATCCGAGCTGCGCTTTTACACCAGCAATAAACTTTACAGCGGGTCCAATAAACTTTATTGGTAATGTCAGCCCTATGGTAAAAGTACACAAACGCGCACACAAAAGGACAATCCACGGTGCATGTGGGAAACATCCGGAATCTTCTAAAGAAGGGGGAAATAAAAGACGCAAAAGATGCGCCGTGGTGACGCAGTTCACGGGAAAATACAAAAACAAAACAAAAAAACAACAGCAGGAGGGACTAAAATGCTACAAGACCAGATACTAGTTTACTTTTTATATTTTTTATAGATATTTCAATTACAGCATATACTATTGACTAGACTGGGATATTTTTTAAAAATATTTTAGTCTTTAAAACTCTTAAATCTTTCGATGTTCATTTGAATCGACTTATCAACACTCTCGGGTTTATTTATTCATAATTATATATTTATGTTTTTAAATAAAAATGTAAAATTAAAAATGAATAAAACATATGACACACTGTGTTGTAGTTGTGTGTGTTTTTTATTTCCATATACGCCTTTATCTACCTGTACAGACGGAGACAACACTGACCGAGGACGCGTTAAAGCCCTGAAAGTAATAAAAGTAAGTTACAATCCAATAACCGAGGAGGTTGAATTATTAGTATTCACACCGTGTCTGCGGCAGCACACAGTATTAGTACAGTTTATCCAGACAGTGGAGTATGATAATAGGCCAGAGAAAAGCAGACAGACTGGACGCACCAGCAGAGGCTCTGAATAATTTAGATCCGTGACACTGACTCCGAGCACACGGAGAGACGACACTGTCAATTAGCCCAAAAGCACGGCTCCATAAGAGCAAGTTGGTTTTTAAAAATTAAACAAAAGAGATGCAATAAAAGTGAGTTCGGGCCTCGAGAACATTAGGAGGTGCGGAGGGAGGAGAGTCTGAGTCCAGACAGTGGAGGTGGAGAAGAAGGAGATCCAGTTTCAAGGTTGTTTTTAAAGTCGGATCACATTTCCAACGAGAACACAAACGAGCGTGTTCTCAGCCATTCATCAGTCAGTTAAAAAAAAAAGTGACCCACATTTATAGATTTTAACCATGTTGCCCACTCTGGGAGCCCATGTTGGGTCGGTTGTTTTTACCACAGCTGCCGCTCACGTTGGCTTCATCCTGATGGAGGGAAGAGGATGACGCACAAGGTGTTTCCCGCACTTGTCCCCAGATCTCACGCGTTTTCCAGGTTTGTCTGGACTGAAAACCTGCCGCTCTGTCATTATGAAGTCAGATGTTTGTTCAGCTCTCATCACTCATCCGAACATTCATTAAGGAGGGTTCGGTGTCCTCCCCACAGAGGGGAAAGGCCGGTCTTATTATGAAGATGATTACAATTATTATTATTATTACTGTTATGGAGAGGATGAATCAAACGCGTCTGTGGCTTCAGAGGGTTCGCCCGCTGCGCAGGAGACGCGGCGCCCGGCTTTAGAAGAAGCCATAAAAGAAAACATCTGCAAACAGCGCACGTCTGGCGCTTATTTAATCGATTTGGTCGAAATGAGACAAAGTTTACGTCACGTGAAAACAAACGAACAGGAAGCAGTTGCGCAGAAAAAAAGAAAAAGAGAGAGCGTGGTGAAAACGTCAACTTTGCCGTTCGGTCGTTTCCCCCGTGAATGGACGATCACCTCGGTGTAAACAGTGATCCGCTGTGAGAAGTGGGGCAATAATGAGCTCTGAGTGTCTCAATAAAAGTCTAGGACTGGAGTCAAGAACAATATAATGGACGTGTAGACTGACGTCAGACTGGGGTTCGACCCGGTCATTCCGCCCACACTCCATGCGGCCTAATTCTGGGTGAGAACGCTATTGAAAATGTTTTATTATTTTATACCATCAATGAAACAAGCAACGGATCAAAAAGAAGAAAAAAACTCAGAAATGATGTGTGAGTCATCTGGTTTATTCGTGATTTTACATCAACAATGGCGGGGGGTTTCGGGGACGGGACGGGACGGGGCAGGGAGGGGGGGCACAAATCCGTCTTTCACAGGAGAAACACCAGGAAACGAGCATATTGTTCACATCAATATATAACAAGACGTACATAAAGATTATATTCAGTGCAAAAACAACTACGCTATATCACCAGCACGTTAAAATAAAAACTCCCTTTAACTTTAAAATCCTTGTAATTTGTAGCAGGTATTATCATACACAGTAACATGTGCGTCATAGGCAGTTTTAGTTGTTGGGGAAAATAGCTTGCAATCATGTCAGAGCGATGCCACTAAGTGTGGAGTAGAACTTCTGCAAAAGGCGTCGCTCTGAGTTTAGGTAGTGCCGTGGTACAATCGTTCACTTTTGCTCGCTTGGCTTGGAGCTAATTGTCTTCCCAAGACTCACAAATTGTCTTCAACAAGTGGATATAACTGTATATCGGGTAAATGCTACATACATAACTTAATCATATAAGGTTTATATAGAACACTTCTAAAATTAAAACCGTACGAAATCTCTATATTCAGAAATCTCTATTGCAATTTCCCCCAGGTTTAGGTAGCATCAAAGGATTTCAAACGATTGCATTTCCCTGGTCGTCCTAGAAAAACGTGGTGTGTGTGTGTGTGTGTGTGTGTGTCAGGGCCATTCACGTGGAAGCAGTGGAACAGCTACAGTCACAGTTCGAACCCCAGGGTGTGTGGAGCTGCTGTGGTGATGTCTGAAAAACATCTAATACTAGGTTAGAAGGCTACACTTGACTGAACACTTCTGAAATGTTGTCTTTGTTTTTTCACTCTTTGTTTGTTTGTTTGTTTGTTCTCTTAAATGTAGACTTTCATTTATTTACAACACAGGTCGGAGTTGGTTTGTTTTTTTTTTTTCTGGAAGAAAAAGAAGTCATTTTTAAAGCAAATGTTGTTAAATACAATAAAAAATAAAAATAAAGGGATACAATTGTTTGTTTGTTTTTTTTTTTCAAAAAAAAAGAATTATAAGAGCTAAGCTGTTTGGTAAAAAAAATAAAAATTAACGTGCGCTTTTACGGATTTACCCTTGGTTTTTTGTGGTCAGGGCGACAGCTCAGGTAAAAATAAAAAATATATTTTTCGGAGGTGTTTCTTGAAAACAAAAAATAAAAAATAAAAAAATAAATGGAATTAGGATATCTGTGAGGGCGCTGTGTGTGTTTATGAGAGCATTATTAGTGGGATTCCTGTTCCCTCTGGACAAAATAAAAGGGTGTCGTCATGAAGTGGACGCTCTCTGCTCTCCTTGTGACTCCTCGTCTGTTTATGACACCTCTCTCTCCCTCTCTCTCCCCTCTCTCTCCCTCATTCTTTCTCCTTTTTCTGCCTTTTTCAGCCATATAACAATAAAAAGGGACCATAAAATCACTCCTTGCTCTCCTCTTTCTCCTCCACTTCTTTCTCCTCGGCCTCTTCCCCTTCAGCGTCCTCGGTGCCTTCCTCCTCGCCCTCGGCTTCGGCCTCACCCCTCTGACCCGGAAACTTGTCTTTGTTGTTCTCTTTTTTCCACTTCATCCTCCTGTTCTGAAACCAAATCTTCACCTGCCGCTCGGTCAGGCTCAGGGCGTGGGACACCTCGATCCTCCTCTTGCGGGTCAGGTAAGGGTTGAAGAGGAACTCCTTCTCCAGTTCCAGGGTCTGGTACCGACTGTAGGTTTGTCTGCCATTCCTTCTTCCTGGGGCTTGAAATATGAAATAAAGCCAGAGGTTAGCTGCAGTCACACCCGGATCACCCGGATCAACTCTACCATGACGCCTGGCCACACTCCCTGTAGAAGTGTCAGGTCAATTAAATTGAATTTAACGATAAATTATGACGCATTTCCTGTTTTTTAAATTTAGCAGCTCTGTCTACAGGTCTGCTAAATTATTATTATTATTATTATTATTATTATTATTATTATTATTATTATTATTATTATTATTATTATTATTGCCCAGGACTTAGTGGGTCAGTATGAGGAGACAGTGTCCATTAATTATTAATGATTATTATTTATATTATTTTTCCCACAATTCACTTCTAGCAATGTTATCAAACTACAAGCAAAACTCGTGTGCATTTTGTTTTCGGTTTCTACCGATTCAGTACACGCACACACACACACTCTCTCTCTCTCTCACACACACACACACACATAATAGCCAGAAAAGGGGGATACCGTGGAGGTGAGGTTCAGCTAACAGTGACAGCTGCTGGAGGCAGGGTGATGTTAGATGTCTCTCAGCAGATACAGATGAAGCTACACCTGTGTGCAGTTCATGATGGTCCGTAAACGGGACGATAATGTCATATCCACCCAGGGTTTGTTTTCGTTTTATGATCATGACTCTGAGTCTGAGCCGCATTAGGCCTGAGGGTCAAATAACACCCCCAGAAAAAAGAACAAACAAACAGTCAGGGTCGTTGGTGATCGGGACGGGCTGTTTTGCAGCTGACCCTGCTGTCACTCTGCTGCTGCTCCTGGAGGAGTTTGTGGCAGCATCATATTTTAGCCTCTGACTTATCCATCCCCGCCGCTGCCTCTGGAGTTTGTGAAATATCTAACGTGAGCGATAATTGACTTCAAAGAGGTTGGTGTCACGAGCTGAGGTCGGTAATCGACTCTGTTTGAACACACGGCTCCTCAGCCCTGTATGGACATGTGCTGCAGAGCAACAGCAGCCTGCAGTGCAGGTTGTATGTGTCCCATCATGTTCCCTCACTTATGACTCTATGGCTGCACAACACACTCACACACACACACACACACACAGTCACACAGTCACACTAGTGTATTTCCACATATATATACAATATGTATATATATGGAGAGCATTTATGTGTTTAGGCAGGGAATGTTATTGAGCTCACATGCACACACACACACGCACACAGAGAGACATGAACGCGCAGCGATCAACAACAGACAGAATAGGAAATAATTGTACGATTCTGACCGTGGGGTCTCATCCAGGGGAACATAAGACTGGGAGAGGAGTTTTGATTTAAGTGGCCTTGTCCTTCTCCGGGGTTAGAGCTGCTCGACGATTTACAGTCTGGATATTGCGCTAGACTCGCGTCTTGCTGGGTACCATAAAGCGTTTGCCTCGGAAGGGCTTCATATCCATAAAATTTCGTCGCGTCCCCGTGGCAAGCCAGAGCGCAGGGGTTTTGCTGGTATCCGGGATTCGAGATCCCCGTGGTGCCGTGGTGGAAAAAGTCCTGCACGTGATGGGACGGATGCTGGAAGCCCGGTGCCGCTGCCCCCGGTCCGTACACCAGCGTGTGGCTGCGGGCGACGCTCTGTGGAAACCTGCAGTCGTAGTAAGTTGGCTCCAGTGACTCTCCGCCTTTGTACTTAGAAAAAAGAGGGTTAACAAAATAGGAGCTCATGTTGAGTTAGCATCCAGCAGACGGACTCTCTCGCAGCTGAGGATCTCCAGTAGGATGACGGCAGCCTTTTGTTTGGTGGTCCCAACTCGCACAGCGCACACAGGCGGACAAACCGGAACTGGGAGAAACGCTGCCCCTTTGGACAATCTACGGCAGCTCACTCTGTCTGAGCCGATCCTCTCAGCGGATTCCCCTCGCGGTCGTGAGTGTGAGTGTGTGTGTGTGTATGTATGTATGTATGTATGTGAGTGTGTGTGTGTTTTCTTCTTCTTCTTCTTCTCTCTCTCTCGGGCTCTGCTGCCTCAGATCCGACTCATGGCTTGTGCTTTTGGATGTGCGTTAGGTTTAAAGCTGACTTGCTCGACCGGCACAGGCTCAGGCTGCTGCTCTTTTCATTCTTTTTCCTTTTTTTTTTAAGCTTCCCACCCAGTCACCCCCCCCCTTCCCCCCCCTCTTCCTCCACCCCTTCATCTTTTCTGCGACCGTGGTCCGACGTGGGCCCTACGTAGATCCACCTTGAGAGGAGCTACACTAATCATAAGCAACAACCCAGCAGGCTTTAAATGTGATCAATGTTATATTTATAACAAAAGGCAGAGCTGAGATGGTGGAAGTGTGTGTGTGAGTGTGTGTGTGTGTGTGTGTAGAATACTGCATTTCCACTACAGGCTGGATTTATAGTCCCAGCTTCTTTGTTTTTCTGTATGTAGGTTGTGAGGTGTGTACAGCAGGGACGGTTTCCTCTCTGTAAACCAAGAAAAAAAAACCAATCCTCCGTGAGCTCGTGCTCGTCCTCTCGGGCCCGATTGAAGGTTATTTACTAATTCCTCTAAAATAGCCGACCTTCTACGGGCTCCGCTGGGTCAACGCGGCATTTGCGAGGGCCGCAAAGAGGCAGAACGCGGCGCTGCACGACGGCAGGCGAGGCGCGACAGGGAGGGACAGAGG